CTGCACAGAAACCCGTTACGCGCAAGCAATAACATAGCAATAGCGAAAATAAAATACCGTCTTACTGTATAACTGCATTTTCGGAGTATTCTTTAAACACTAAAACAAATACTAATGTTTGTTTTTTTTAAAGTAAGTGATAAACAACACTCCACGTGTATGATTTTAATGACCAAAAAACCAACCACTGCCATGCCAGTACCAATGTAAGTATTTTTTACGCACTAACGCATGCGCACTTGGCATGTTGTTTTGAAACAATACATCGTTACGTGGTTACTGTTCATATGACAGACACGTTCAGTTGTGCACCTTGCGAATTTAGGTTTGTTATTGGGAGAAGTAACCGTCAGAAAACGAAATAACGCGGAAGATTATTTAAAAAGGAAACAATGGCGGTTCTCCCACGTCTAGATTGTGAAAGGAGACCTGGCCAAATGAAATTTTTATTAAAAAAAAAATGCTCGGTCGTCATTCTGAAAACTAGAAACGTCGATAAATTACGCGCATGCCAATGTAAAAATTGTACTCCGGCGACAGGTGCTTCATCATGATTTAGCGTTCACTACCTGTATTGGTCATGTGACATTGTCAGCGACTAGGGCGCGAGTATAATTTAGTAATCAAAAAAAAAAAAGATTTAGCCATGAGCTGGAAGAAATGGTTATACAAATATATGTTGACAACCGGGAAACACGAATGGCGGCCATTGTGTTCTGATTCTCACATTCTACAGAGCGAACAGGTTGAGTGAATGTTGTTAATAATGAGAGAAATATCTTTAGATGATTTCCTAATATTTGCATATTTTGCATCTAACCAATATGACGCGTCATGTGATATAATTCCGAAGAATCGGAAGAACTGTGATTTTCTATAACAAAGAAAAATCTATGAGATTTCTTGCGACCCGAATATATTATATATACCATGATCACTAGCGGTAAGTATGGATTCTGCGTTTGTTTTCAAACGCCTAATCGCCGTATCTAGCAATATAATCATCTTTCCACACTTATTCATGATATAGTTCTTCAAAAATGAATAATATGAACAAGATTCGATCGCAGATACGCTCATATGGTTCCTACCCTTGTTTGAAACTCTGACGTCAATGATGCGGAAATTATTTCAGGATCACGAGGAGCGGTCTACGAGTCACGTTGATGTTTGAAGAGAGTATTTTTTTTGTTTGCTGTCTGATTCACGAGTAGCGTTCTCTTCAGAATGTCTTTCCATCAAATGGCTGTTGTATATATCGTTAATGCTATATTCCTTGATAATTGCACGGTATGTGTCATTTGAACGGCCGGCGAGAAGCTGTTTACGAAAGCGCGCGATGAATTACAACGATGTAGGTTCTACCAGAAATCTAGGTATGAAGCTGTTCCTTCGGCCTTCGCAGATTTCCATCACAATATGAGTTAAAATAAACCTTAGATTTTCATAACACCGCTTTGATTTCTACTTAAAATTGGAATGTGTAACTCATAATTGTACATGCTCGACGAATTATAATAGATCCGAGGGCGATTCGTTCTGACCACGAAGTGACGATTTGAGGAATACTTGACTTTGAAATCACCAGACGTAATCGAACATCGTAGTTGTACGTCACTAGTGGCCGTCAGCAGAGAGTAAAAAAAAAACTGCCAGAAGTTATACAAAGACAATATACGCAGACAAGTTTAAAGTGCGGTGGTTGTCGCGCAGCGCGTGTTCGAATTTCATGTAAATAAACAATGTGTTTTACACGCGTTGTATACGTCGCTATGAGTCCTATATCGAACAGGACGCGGTGCGACGACCACCGTACCGGCCTTTAAGCTGTGATATCAATCGCTAACGTAATAAGTCTTATTTTTATTTGTCGGATATATCAATGAATGACAAAATGAAACGCCTAGAAACACCTGCTCATCCCTCCATCAAGTGATATGCTCTGTTGAACACTTTCCCCGGAGTTTCATTTGTTACGCTTATTGTTGTCGACGCTGGCAAGTCGTAATAATATACATAACTCTTCATATCAGTCGATCTTTTTTTAGAGCAGAAATCATTTTGGTTTGGTCTCCATGACGACGATTTGAAGTTATTTTCATTACATGTTCGTGCTAGAATACAATTTTAATACTTGAATGATCAAGCACAATTTCCAACGCAGTTTTGTATTTTGTAGCGCGTCTGTCGCGAGCTTCTCACAATACGTTCGAACTGGTGCAAACACGAGTATATTCGCCAGCCCAATAATAATACGAGTCAAGTATGGTCTCTTCTGTACGCCATATGCATAAAAATAGAAGGCTATTAATTTTGATTCACGTAATGCGCGCTGCATGTTATGTGTACACCGGAAATGACTTGCATTCACCGGAAATGACAGCAGCTATTTCGTTAGCTGCGATCTCGAAGATCATATTATCGAATAATCCGGATATCTTGCTGCTCTCGGCTTTGAATACACGATCGAGATTACTGCGATGAAAAGTCGAATTGGGTTTCCATTTGAGCTTTATTTTACATCACAAGAGAGAGCTAAATACGATTGAGGAAGATCGACCAACTTCATGATGAACACAGAAACACTGCCGTATATTGACAATAAAATCGCTATATTTAATCGAGTTCATTGGAAAATATTTGAGAAAATCGACGAGAGTTTATATAATAAGAACAGATCACATTATATACTGCATTGTGTCTGGCAGTAAAATAAATCCGATAATCACTAATATTTACGTCCTGTACACGGTATTTATTTAAAAAACGCGTTGCTAATGGTAACGACCTATACGCATCATATGTTAAGCAATCACCATATATAGGATTTTGCGATGCAAACCATGGTAACCATGACCAGTATGCAACCCAATATAAAACTTGATTTTTTAAACAAAATTCTAAATAATAAATGATATCCCGGGAGTTATCGTGCGAGTAGTACAAACTCGCTATCGGTTATCTTAAGCTTGTTCCGATACAGCCTGGAACTACTGAGGCAGATAACATTGATGTCAATGTATGGGGTTGAGGAATTCAGAAATCGTTAAGAATTATGTGCCTTTTTGTGGCAATGCATAATCGGCGATGTTAGACGCTTGTAATTAAGTCCCAGAGTGGAGAATTCAATTTCGGGGTGCGTGCTGTGTAGAATAAGCTGGATAGGAACTTCAGTATAAATACTAAAAAAGGCGGTGTCGTCGCGCAAACATTCGAGCAAACATGCACAGATAAGCGTACTTTACTTGTGTTGGTTACGTTTCTATGTGACCCATGTCAAACACGACACGACTTGATGACCACCGCCCCTTTAAATATGATTATTATTACCACAATTAAACGATCATGGCCCGATCCCAATCCACGTGATTTATCATCGCGTAAGCTCTACGCACAGCTCTACGCGGATTCGATTATTCACGTGAGTATAGAGATAATTACAAGTATTGTGTTCTAGGAAATGAAAATAAAGCATGCATAATGTGGATTTTTACTTGACAAGAGCGAGTGTCAAGTGAAATGGGGGTTGTGTAGAATAAATGCGATCTGTTAAGCCACGTGACTTAGTACGATATAGGCTATAGGCACACGTATAAGACGAATGTAGTTATTCACGTTATTCGGCTGGTAGTGTCCGATTTCAGGTTATAGTGAGTGGGAATTTTTTCTTCGGATACTATATCGGCAACTTTTGAATGCAGATTCAGCGTTATTAAACTTTGATGTAACGGAACTAAACTACGCATGGAGAAAACTGCTTGGAAAATAGAGCATTTGGAACAAGGAAGCTACATCGAAAATTTCAGTCGGAGGGCGTCATCAAATATTGACCAACGTTAATTTGTTTTTTGAATGAATTACGTGAAACCCGTTCCTATGGTAAATATGTACACGGTTCCTCTACACCTGTACTACACGTGTTCACGTATCGTGGATATTTCGAACTTTAAATCATGAATGCTGTGCCTAAGATATACTGTACGATGATCAACTTATGAATATGTATTATATGAGAATGACATAGTCCAATATTGAAGGAGGGCATCTACTTCAGCTAAATCAATCCAATCTGAGTTCAAACAAACTTCGATTTTGTAGTAACACCGGGACACCGTGATCTTGTGTACGCAATTTCCTTAAGAAATATACATTACCAAACAAACTTACTAGAAAAACAATTTGGATATTCATTTTTTTTTCAAAACTTTCATATGAAGGTATTGAACAAGTGTTTGAAAAAGCAATTATTACTACATCGCCGAAACAACTAACCTTCATTGTCACTCAATGGCTGGAAGTCCGAGCAGCATGGATGCGCGCCCCTTTTATATAAAAAGTGACGAGTCTACATCACAAATTATTTGTTAATAACATCATTAAGATCAATATTGAGAACTATAATATACCCCTCTCCCGGTGTGTTCCACGTGAACACCGCGTGTAGTCACATGATCAGCTCAAGTCAAAATCCACCCCTCCCCAACAACAAAAATGTTTTAATCTCTCTGGGAAATAAAAAGCATAAACTAGTTATGGGTTCTACGATGGAGCGCTTATCTGAGCAGATAACACACTCACAAGATTGTGAATTGTGGATTTGATAGTACTGGCAAGTTATTTATTGCTTGCAACATGTTGAATGGCCCCGGAATTACATGTTTGTTTTTTTCAATTTGAAAATAACAATTCACGTATGGAATTGTGAGGGATTGGGCTATAAATCACACGAAAATCGCTGGATTGTTCATTTTAATGGGAATGTTTAACATATTTTGTACCTACTTGGGCCAAGTAGGGTGAATAAATAAATAAATAAATAAATAAATAAATAAATAAATAAATAAATAAATAAATAAATAAATAAATAAATAAATAAATAAATAAATAAATAAATAAATAAATAAATAAATAAATAAACGTGATAGAAGGAAATGACTAAGGTAGTTCCTCGAGAAGAAATTTGGTATGTTGTAAGAGAGACACTAGTCTCAACCACCTACCTGTAAGGCAAGGTACTCGGTATTCGCCGAAGCGAGGATTCCAATCATCAAACTGTGACCCAGCGTGGCGATGGCACTCAGCAATAACACAAAAAGCAGTCGCAGAGGCATCATGACATACGACGCGTAAATGAAAAACACCACCCATCCGACCCCGTCACTGGGGGTAAGGGGATGGTAGTGAAGTCCCAGGTGGGCGAAAAGTTGTCCACACAACAGTATCCAAATGAAAAACGGCATGACGTTGGCTAAAGACCACTCCGATACCAGTCTGAATTTACACAGGACGAATAAGATAAGGTTTGTTAAAACGGAGATACCCATAATTGAGATTTCAGTCAGCTTCGATTCGTCGTAACTTGCCAGATATAAAGTCAGGACGCACACGTCGAACAGAAAGGCAAATAGCAACAACACCGGTAGCATATCCAGCTTCTGCCGGGTAAAATAGGCCCGGTAGGTCCCCTCCATGGAGGTTGAGGCAAAGTGGCTCCCTATACATCCTGGGAGGCAGTTATCCCCACAAAGCGCACCGCCTGGGATCTCCATGACATCGCGATTACGGGACCCCCTCTCCATTTCCATTACTGTGGACGGAGTCTGTCCAGAGTCAAACTCTTTAGTAATTCCGTTTTTCTCCTTCATGGTTTGCGTCGACTTGTTTAAAGATACCTTATTTCCGTATACGAAATGCACCGTTCTATTTTTTTATGAGCGATGTCGACAGATACTACATCATGGACCGATTTTAATTTCAAATCGCCGCAATGCAACGCTATTGCATGGCGGAAGATACGTGAAAACCAAACTGTCACATAACGTATGTGTGTCTTAAATAAATTGCCCTTTTGCGAGTATTTGTACAAACTGAAGAGTGTTTTCAAATCAGGACAAACATTTACATAAGGGTCCAAGGCAGGGCAATTTACATTAGAATTGTCGATTAGTTAAGAAAACAACACACTGACAGATTTTTACGAGCGCAGCAACCAGTTGAAAGCACCAGGTCGATCTTGCTCTAAGTCGTTCAGCTCCTGGGGCCGGTAATCTATGAAACAAGTAGAATTCCTTAGTTAATTCCTTAGTTTATTCTTTTTCTCTCTTTCTGTCTAGCGTCGAATCATCGATCGCCTGCCAGTGATTGTAATTGCCTATTCACGATAGGAAAAAAACCCATTTCCAATAGATCAGCTTAGCTGTCGGGAGAGAAACACGATATCATTTCTCGCTTTCGTTGGCTTCACTATCGGCTGGTTTGCATTCACCTGTTCGGCCTCTGAAGACAAAAACTGAAAATTGGTTCTAACAAGCGTGGTTTTATTTAGCAGGTAATTAGTCTCATTCAATGTAACGAAAATGAACGACAATATAACAATATTGGGAAAAAAACACGATCTAAGGCCAACACCGAAAGATGAACACCCAGTGCACATTTGTGCGTTGGCATGCGCAGTGAAATCGGACATATGAGGCAAACTAGATAAACGTATTTTCATCCCTACACGTTAAAAGCGACGGAGGCGTTAAATGAGAACATTCGCCTCTCATTGTGTATACATACCGCCATTTTTTCAATAGTATAGTCTCGCTGATTTTCGTTAACTCCACGATAAAACAGAAAAGGATAATACAGGGTATTTCATCGTTCCAGGTCTCTGCTGCGATGTAATAACACCGCACAATCCAAGATAAACCTTCAACAACGCTGTCACTGTTCGTGTGGATCAATAAATCGTGACGTCACAAGTGGGAGAAACCACTCTGAAAGAGACGCGCTGAACGGGGAGAAGGTCATCTGCATTAGTCACCCTGTGCGGATTATTATTATAAAAACACCCCTCGAACTCAACTCGTGTTATAAAATGATTAGGTCAAATTTAGAGTTGGATGTACAATGACCAGTGAATAAAATAAATTTATTGCGAAGTATTTCTATTTTGAAAAATAAAATGGCGACTAGCAATTGATCGGAAAACACGTTTTCGCTGGTTGCTATGGTTGACTCAACCTCATAATAAACAGTGAAAGAAGATCAGGCGTTTGTTTAGAAATCATATTTATTCATTTATTCAAAGACGCAATGTTGGAACCGAATTAACACAATTGCTGTAGCGGACAGGGTGCGTAATTAGTGAAATTAATACGATGTCTTATTTCAGTATGTTGTGGAATTACACATTTTTAATAAATAAACAGATAAGATAGAGTCTTTATAAATGTTAATGACATCATTTTAATAAATAATCAACGCAGAATATTTAAATAATGTAAATTCAATCTCACTGAAACGTGTCTGGTCGTGTGCTAAACACAGCAACATTTTCCAGTCTATTCAATTCGTAGTAATATCCTGACATTTATTATCCATTTCTCAGAAAAATAAATATTTACATACCAGTTTTCAAATTGGGCGCCGTGCGATATAAGAGCTTAAAGAGTATGTGCGTAATAACACACATTCCCGTGCCTGGATTATTACTGGGATTAAATTAAAGTCCGTTATTATTAATTTAATATTTTCGGAAGAATTCGACAACCGATGTCAGGCCATCATCAAATCTTAATATCGCAGATTAGACTATTGTAGAATGTCATCCTTCGTAATCCAATTGATATTAACAAAATATACGCGTGTAATGGAAAACAATAACGAGTGACTGCTTATTTATGGGATGGATGGTTTGAGCGACAATTGTTTTGTCGTGGGCTTGTCATGGCAACACATTAAAGTTTACATCGTTGCAATATATTGCATACTACCCACTATTTATTTATTTATTTATTTATTTATTTATTTATTTATTTATTTATTTATTTATTTATTTATTTATTTATTTATTTATTTATTTATTTATTTATTTATTTATTTATTTATTTATTTATTTATTTGTTTATTTATTTATTTCATTTATTTATTTATTTTTTGTTTGTTTGTTTATTTACTTATTTATTTATTTATGAGATAAAATACTTATAATGTGTGGCTTATCAAGTCAACATTTTAACATACCGCCCGCCTGATTTAAGTAAACATTTTTTGATTGACCAGTAGATTTTGTGTTAATTAACATCTCATGTCTTTCGAATGTGAACATAAGTTCATGTTCTAAGGATAGATATTTGCAGAAGGGGGATTTCATGGTGGTCGCGTGGATAGTAAACTGATTTCTGGGCAGGGCGAACTGGTGGCGCCGTTCATGTTTCGAGACCACACAAAGCACATATTATATATTACAATGTCATGGAAGACTCTTGCACCCAATTAGAAACCTACACAGATTATTACAGTGTGCTTTCTTTGGTTTCTCAACAAACTTAATATATAAAGACTAGTAATTACTTCCTGTGAGCCTATTTGCAATTCAGTGTGGATCATATCGTAATATGGTGTATAATGTTTGAGTCCAACACGTTTGCCATGATTAGTATAGGGCAACTGTAAACTTAATCAAACTGACATTCTTTTTTGGAGGGGAGGTCATAATGGTCGAGTGAATAAGGCGCCTGATTTTTAGGAAACACAATTTTATGCCGTTGATGGTTCGAGATAACCAAAAGAACATTTCATGAAAAGTATTCAGAAATATTAACCAACATAAACAGTAGATAATGATAATGTTATTTTATTTATTTATTACAGTTATAGTCATCCGCGGCAAACCTCGGCTCAACGTGACAAGTATACACTGCCTTACTGCGTGAACTGACAACAGGAACCGGATCACTTTCACCTTAAAGAGGACCTTTCATTTAAGCCTAATCTCACAACCAATTTACGTTCTGGATTAAAATAACAATGGATAACAAAATATAGATTAACATTGTAAACAACATAAACAATAGTGTTCCATGATTCTTTGGTGCAATCCATGGGATTTAGCGGTATCTCTTTAAGCTCTCCTTCGATTCAACACCGTTTTTCTATTTCAACATGTCACAAGCCTTAAAAGTGATCAGTGTGTACTATTGTTTTTTACCGCTTAGTTTGCAATCGACCACCTGAGTCTCACTAATAGTCGAACATAATATCGTATCAACAATGTTTTGACAACAACTCTACTTTATATTACGTTTTACGTTCATTCTTCCAGTTGAAAATATCAAGAAACGTTGATGTGCCAATGATGTTAGCTAGTTTATATAATCATCCGTGTTTTAAAGTTGTCACATAAGATTTTTTAAATGACTGTTATCCTTACTGCACATTGCATTATTGTTGTGTTTAAACTTTGTGTAACAATTGTGGGACGACATTCACCATTTCTTTTTGCGACCTGAAACATTTACAGTGAGTAAGCTTGGTTATTGTTTCGCTTTGCAGTGTTTCTAATATTGGGATACCAAACTTTTATTTAAACTAGTGTTTGCATTTTTGTCTACGTCACACTACTGCTTCGCATTATTGTCACCAAATGAAAAATACTATGCGAACATTGTTCTTTTGATTGAAACGGATCATGCAAATAAATGTCACGAGTTCAATAATCTATTGTTTAGCCTCCCGTCATCGAAACAAAAGTAGCAATCCCGTGAGACAACCCACTGCGACTTTAATAAATGGAGTCGTAGGGCTCATGAAACACTAGTTCAGAAGACGTTGTCAACTTCCAATTAATATACTTCGTATACAATAGACACATACAATTGTTGGCAAACATTGTACGCTCAAAGAAAAGAAAAAAAAAAACACGTGTCGACCATTACAGCACGTACATGATCATTGAACTGTCACCATTACTGTTAACAACGTTAACCTCTGACCTTAACTGAAGGGAACCACGAATGGACCACTCCCTCAATGCTGTAAAAGTGACAACCGCTGATGTGTTTATGTCAAGTAACGAATTGAACTCGTCTTTATTTATTTTCAAAAAGAATATATCGAAGTGGCTGTCGCGCGTGCGTGCGTATCGATATCATGAAAGCATCTTCGCCTTTTAAGGAGCAAGTTACCTATACTTTCACAATGTACCACTACAGGCAATTAGTAACTCAATATACCACGAAACAATATCTTTTCATGTTACAATTATGTAGCAATGCATATGTAAAATTAAGTAGTATGTTGACTCTGTAGACGGGGTCGACAGCAGACATGTTGTCTCCATAAGTCGAGCACTCATATCGCAGTCAGTTTCATTTTGAAATATGGATGGCTCTCCTCTGAACAGGTAGACAGGTGAACTAACGTATGGCATTATGTAGTGACCTATATCATCGCCACTAGAGGAACACGTCTTAAATTACCGTAATATTCTTGTGTCACTTTTCTAAAGAACGAGTTATCTGTCTCGTATTCATACCTCGAGGGAATCATAGTTCCTTTGTCTACTCCGAACTCCCTGTCATCGCTACATGTGCTTTGTCGGAACTAGATAAAAACGTGGATGTCACGAGGCGCATTGAAATGGTATCTGTGATAGCAAGCATATTAACATTATTTTCTTCAAGGACGTGACGTGCACAGAGACTGCATATGAAAGAATTGAAGACTGTATAATATAATGGTATATTTGCCGTGACTATGTATCTGATAAATCGTAAGACTGAAAATAAAATTATTTATTAGAGTAAATTAAGCAATATTCATTAGTACTATATGTTTCGGCACCCATAAGCCATATAAAACAACACATACACTCGAA